TATGTATGTATGTATGTATATATAATGCCTTAATCTTAATGTTATTTCATAATTTCTCAAGATTATACGTACTTCTCCGGTATCCTAGCAGAAGTACAAGCTAAGCTTTGGGATGATACAGGAGCTATAAAGCCCCGGGTAAGTTAATGGTTAGCTGCTTTACCAGGTAATTATGTTTGAGATGGACTGAAACCCGCGGTCATTTCTCTGAATCGTGCCTTGAAAACAATGGGTTTCGAAGAAAGCTTCCCAAGCAAAGTAGAGCCTCATCCGCTCCTTGTTTTTAGCTTCCCCATTCTCAGGAATCTCATCTTAGCATGTAATACTCCGATAAGAACTGCTTGATGCTCACATGCCAAAGACTCTCAACACCCCCGAGGAATTAGCGGAGGCATTGTTTCTGCTTCTGTCACGCTGCTTGTGGGCCAGCCTCTGCGTGCTTCACTGGCCAGCTTACCCGAAGGTTCCAGGCATATGAGTTGTACCTACTTTAGAGCCTAGTGTCTACAGTCTAAAAACAGTACCTATTTGGGGCGATTTGAAGCCTTAGGGTTACTAGCTCCCTAAACCCTGAAGCCCAAAAAAGACAAAGCAAACACTTTCAGACCAACAGTACATGTTGATTGAAAGGGGGCCGACAAAATCGGAAGTGGTAGTGTAAAGCACGGCTTAACAAACAAGAGATGATCACAGTAAATTGTGCCATCCACCATACTCATCGGCACATCCTTACCAAATATAGGACTGAAGTAAGCAAGCGAAACAAACCCCACATATAGTACTTCTTTCCATACAACGTTTCTTGGCCCATGTACCTCCACGCACACGAATCACCCTCCATGTCAAGGATGGGATGCTTTTTTGCACATTGTCATCGGATCCGGGAAATCAAGAGTTGCGCCTATGTGGGGTGGGGGTCTTCGTGGAAAGGATCCTGCCATTTAGGGACCCATATTTCAGTGGGGCTTCGTACGAGTACTGCAGTGAGACATTACCTTCTTTCTATCCATGAACGCTTGCTTGACGGAAGCCCTCAGGCTTCAGGTAGAGGGTGTTTAAGGGGTTTTCCGCAAGCTTCTATAAGTAACGAGGGTTCTATCAAGATTTTACATGTTAGTAAGTAGGTTTATAATTAGTGCAGACCTACTGATAACCCCTTTATGAAGCGTTTGCAATCACTGTGATTGGGGCCTGGTATGCGACAAGAAACTCAAGCCCGGAACACCCCCAACCCTAAAGCAAAGATGTGGGTAGTTTTCTAAATTAAGGTCCCCTCTAAATTATAAGGGCGCCATACTATTTTTCGGGACTTGCAAATTTCAAAACCCTAAACACAAAACCCGTTTGAATAATAAGGGATCCTACTTTGGAAAACTTAGCCACACCGTCCTTATATACCCCGCAGACCTGAACCCCTCAATCTTAAAGCCCGAAACCAGAAGCACTAACGGTTTAGGGTATAGGGTTTGGGGTTCAGGGCGTAGGGCTTGGAAATCCTACGGCTGAGAGACGGCATCCTGCATCATCCATAAGTAGTGAGTCATGTACCGAGTTCCCCAGAATACTTTGTACTTGGTATCACTATCCCTTGGAAACCTCTGTCCGATTGATATATAATTAGCACCACAAATCCGGGACCCCCATTCTCGAAACAAAAACACGCTTCTTCTACAAGTTGAAATCACTGCAGCACCCTGTTCTGCTGCTTCAAAAAAAGTCACCGAAAGACACCTTAATGGAAGAACCTGAACCGGAACCCTGGTCTTGCAACACCAACATATCAGGATCCATATAAAGAGCCCTACGAAAGACCAGAAGTGTCTTAATCAGCCTAAAATAAAACCCTAAACCCTAAAACCCTAAAACCCTGAACCCTAAACCCTAAAACCCTGAACCCTAAACCCCTAAACCCCTAAACCCTAAATCCTATACTACCCGGTCCTTGCCTGGGGACTGAGGCTCTCCTGTCCACTGGACCGGTCAGAGAACTAGAGGAGAGTCTCAACAAGTCATATAGCACCCTTATAGAAACCCTATAGAGACC